TCCAACTTTCTTATGCTCCTCTCAAGAAACTAAATCTTCCATTCCAGAAACCTTGTTCTCTTTTCTTCATCGGAGAAGGTTTTATGATAAAGTTATTTGTTCTAAAACCCGACATAGGCATCAGTTCTTAAGCATCGTGAAAGAATCTTTCACTTTGAAGTCTCTAGATCACAAGAACTTGAGCAAAATTACATCAATTCGATCGCCTTTAAGAAGAGGTATGCCCCAAGTTGAGATCTCATCAGGATTTGATTTGATTTTTGAAGTGGTGTTTTCTGATGAAGACGAAAATGCAAAATATTTGTTGGTAATGGCTTCTTGAACTAGTTGTTTGAACTCATTGAATGATACCTTCTCCAAAAATGATAGATCTCTGATTTTGTTGCTCTCTTCTTTGAAAGAAATCATGGATTCGGGGATATTCTTGGGGTCACGTGATAAAGTTTTTTCTGGTGGTTCTATTAGTTGCAAAAACATAAATTTACCTGCACATGATTGGAATTGAGAAATCGAGATTGGTTGAACAATTCCAATGGTTTCTTCCGACCTAGACTAGTGAATAAGGGTCTTCTGATTTTGTTGCTCTCTTCTTTGAAAGAAACCATGGACTATGATTGATAGTGGTGACAGGGTACAAGTAAGGTGAAGGGAACGAAAATAGAGGTAGGAGATACTTATTTTACTGTTGAACAATCGAAATAAAAGGGTTGCTGAAGGGAAGGGATGACGGTGGATCTGTGTGTTTTGATCGAAGTAAAGGCATGAAATCACTTACCTTGGTCGGTGTCACCTGGTGGTGATGATGGTAGAAGGAGTAGATAACAACTTCGATTCTAATGGAGAAGACGGTTCGATGTTTTTGATATATATATATATATATATATATATATATATATATATATATATATATATATATATATATATATATAGAGAGAGAGAGAGAGAGGGGGGAGGAGATAGAGAAAGAGGGTGGGACCCTTTAATATCAAATAATTAGTTTCTTTTTTTTTAAATAAGACAAATCTTCATAAATGGTCCCTGTGGCAGTGAAATGACAGAAATACCCTTCACTTAACGGCCAAAAGCTAACGTAGTTAACGAAAATGACTATTTGTTAAAAGTTTTGAAACCACAGGGACCATCTGTGAGGTTTTTTGAACATAGGGACTAAACTTGATGTTTTCGAAAACCACAGGGATCATTTTTGAAGTTTTGTCTTTATTCATGTTAAAACGTTTGGGATGTCATCGTCAATACTGGAACATAAGCATAAACAGAACTTACATTTATTTACACTAGTGATCTACATCTCTTTAATCTCTCAGTGTAATGTGACTTCATATCAACACCTGTGATATAAATAAATTGAGTGTGTCAGGTTGGGAAACCTGGTGAGTACATAGGGTTTTCAACCCACAATAATATAATTACTATGTTTAAACAATCAAACAATCAACCCAATTACCCATCCCCATTATCTTCTTTACTCTTAAGGATTTATCCTAAGAGTCATTTATTCTGCATTCGTTTATTCCGAAGTCCCTTACTTCCAGGGTTATAGGACTGGCACTAAATCCATAGCTGTCAATGTTCGTTCATAAAGCACTAATTCCATATCTGCTATAGTCTATTCAGCGGGTACTAAAGCCATAGCTACCAGTGTTTATCTAATAGGTACTAATTCCATAGCTACCAATTCCTTAACAGGTACTAAATCCATAGCTACCGGTGTTTGTCCAATAGGCACTAAGTCCATAGCTGCCGATGTTTATTAGTTAGGCACTAAGTCTATAGCTGCCAATGTTTTCTCACATCATCTTTTATCTCTCATCATTCATCTACCCGTATCATACCCAACATATTCGTGTATATAAAATACGTATACAGTTTAAATCATCTAAAACATGTATAAAAACGTTCATCCAACATAGACAGCAAGTATACATATAATATGCACACATAGCATGTAGTTTATATAAAATACTTCATATCTATGTGTAAGATGAAAGTAACTATGCACTCACTTGAAAAGGTGGTGATTCCAAACTCAGACAACGCTTCACTTCTTGAAAAAAATATTTCCTTCGACGAAACCTAGTATTATTACCACTAGAGTTTAGTCTATTATTCACCGAGACTAATTAATAGTCTAGCTATTATTACTATTATATAACCGTTAAATAATACTTATATAACCCATACTAATAGCCCAATTACTTATTATATGTTCTTAATAACGTTAATATAATTAAATAAAAGCTATATTAAAATAGCGTAGGCGTAGCTCACTTACAGCGGGTTTTATAGAAAACCAGGCTTTGCTTAGAGCAGCATTCCCGTGCGGAAAATCTCTTCTTCTCGGAGCCGTCGAGCACTCAGGGGCTTCCGCCTCGTGCTAGGGAGGTTCCTTAGGCTTTTCGGGGGGTTTCGGGGCTAGAGAGAGGTTATAGAGAGAGAGTAAAGAGAAGAAAGAATAAGAAAGGTGTGAAGAAAATGAGGGTGGGAGAGGTTCTATTTATAGGGTGAAAATGGCTGAACTTGGTGCCACATGTCACCATCTAGTGGCAAGACTTGGGGAGAAAGCAATGGCCAAGATTGTGCCACATCACCCATTTTCGCACAGCACACTTCCGACTTCTAAAATCCGTAACTTTCACATACGACCTCCTTTTTTGACGTTCTTTATATCCACGCGTAGGTAAAAATAATATCTACAACTTTCATTTTGACTCCGTCGGCTAATTCTTGACTGATCTTAAATTTAATAGTACGAGGCGTTTAGACTGTTAAATGACCGCGAAGAATTCGTAACTCCTTCATACGGACTCTGTTTTCGTCTGTCTTTTTACTGTTAAGTTCCTATTAATGAGATCTTCAACTCTCATTTAAGTCACATAAGCCAAAAACCGCTCGAACTAAAATTCGAGTTTCGGGTCGTGCACTGCTAAGCCGAAACTTAGAAAAATCATAACTTCTTCATACGAAGTCAGATTTGGGCGTTCTTTTTATGGATTTTCTCGGTTTAACATATTATACGACTTTCTTTTAGATCACTAAGTCTAAAAATTGCTCCATCGTAAAATCACTATTTACGCTTCCCGGTGCCGTGTCGGTTCCGTCGCGAAACTTCGACGGGTCATAACTTCTTCGTTATAACTTGGATTTCAACGTTCTTTATATGTACGGAAACCTTGTGACATATTCTACAACTTGGTTAAGATTATTTATTCTAAATAATTTTTTGTCGAAAAGTCATTTTCGACCCCTATTACCTCTAAATTGACTAGCCTGGATCTACAGGCGTTACACTTTTTTGTTTTTTTTTCCATATCAATTTCGCGGAGCATTAGTTCATCTCTATGAAATTCATGTCTATATGTGGAAAAAGCCTTTTATGTCTATATTTTGAAAAACACCCTTAAAAAATGTGTATTGTAGGCATAATCCAATGAAAAAAAAGTTGGCATAAACATCAAAACCATTTTGAGTTAAACTAAGTAAATTTTAAGAGTAACACACAGAAAAATTTTCAAAGGCAGTGGTAGAGCCAGAACGAAATTTCATGGGTAGCACACGTAAATTTTAAGAGTAACACACAGAAAAATTTTCACTATACCGAAATTTTTTCGAAAGAATTTCACTACACCTAGTGGAGTAGCCATAATTTGATTTTAGGATGGGCCAAATAATATACAAAATATGAAAGACTGGAAAAATTCTTTAAACGATAACAAAATATAACTATATATATATGCATTTTTAACTAAATTGTTTATTTTAAGTTGCACACGATGTTGTTTTACACCATTAAAGTAATATAGAATAAAGTCTAATAAACACAAACAACAATGTATTCTCTTCTACTAATTTCAAGTTTTGGATGTAATATGCCATATCACAATCCTAATTCTTTCTATTTAATAAAAATATATATTATACATACCATATATATGTAACCTTAATTTTGTATGGATAGGACAATGTCCACTCTTACTCTATATTGGCTACGTCCCTGACTACACCAGAAAATTTGAGATGTAACACAGGATATTCGGACTCATATCCTCCCATGTCCCAAGGGAAATTAAGACCCAACAAGTGACATACTTGCTTGATATATCTTCTTTAATAACTAAATGTTTTTTTTTGTCTATCACAGAATGAATTGTCAAATGTCATTTTATGGTTATTTTGAATTAATTTTTTTTCCACATATCATTTTATGAGCTTTTCAATTTTATTAAATTCTATATAATATTTTAATATAATAATTGCAACAAATGTAGTAATAAATAGATATTAATTTTACTAATAACCTTATCTTTTAATTTTAAAATTCTCAAAATTAAAACTCATTAGTTTTTTTTCTTTATTTAAATTTAAAAGATAAAAAATATTTTCATCATAATAAATCATTATTTTTTTTTCTTATAAATTCAAAGTATTCAAATATTTTGATATTTATATTTAACATTTTTAAATAATCAATGTAATACATGGATAACATTATTTATTATACAATTAACCACAATGATGTGATGGTGGACTAAAATAGTGTGAACCCACGGGCTGTACAATTTACCATAAATTATAATAGTTTTGAAATTGTTTAATATCGGTTACCATTAGCAACATGTTTTAATTTTACTACTTAGTTATATAAATTAAAAATCAATTTGAACTTGTCTAAGTTAAAGTGGATGGGAAATTGATGTCCCATGAAGCATATGTCACATACACCCTATCCAAATACATGCCATATCAATCAATTAATGCATAAAATAGATCAAAAGAATATTGTCATGTCTGTAATCATTGTTATTTTTATTCAATTCTTACCATCATCATATAACATCCACATAGTTTGGTATATACATGGAAATTCAGTACAATTTACAAGGTCATGATTGAAAGTTGAAACCCAACAAATATAAAAAAATTATAAAAAATAAATAAAAATAAAAAAATAAATATAGAGATGACAAGGCCATGAATGATTTGATCCAAATTCTAAACACATTATTGTTCATGTTGGCCCACCATGGAAGGTGAGCGGAGGTATGGAGTATGGAAGGTACGGTCAGTGAGTGATATCGCGTACGATACGTGTGGCCCCACAGATCATATCCCATGGCTATGGCTGATCAGTGATCATGGCTCTCTCTTCAATTCTATATCCAAACGGTTTGCGTCCTCTTCTTTTTGTATCTTCGCTTTCCATCTGCAAACCTTAGCAAACTACTACTGATCATCAATCGCCTGAAAAATCATCGTTGTTGATCGACGAGAATGAGTAGCGGTGGCGGGAAGAGAAGGACACGAGTAGGCAAGTACGAGATTGGCAAGACGTTGGGCGAAGGCAGCTTCGCTAAAGTCAAGTTCGCTAGAAACCTCGTCACCGGTGATGCCGTCGCCATTAAAATACTCGATCGTGAGCGTATTCTCAAACACAAGATGGTCGAACAAGTAAGTAATTCCATCTCTTGTATTACCAATTCATGTTTACTTTTAGTAATTGCTTTTGCTTACGTTCGTCCTGTTTGTAATTGTCAGATGAAAAGAGAAATCTCAACCATGAAGTTGATCAAACATCCCAACGTTTTAAATCTCTATGAGGTGAGTATAGTATACCACTTCAATTTCCTACTTCAATCTGAAGATTACCTTCTTCGTAATCAAGTTCTGATCCAATGTTATCGTTTGATTTGATCGATAAATAATGCTTTGTTCTGTTTTTGGAATATCATGGAATCATCAAAAACATCTGGATTTCTGATTATTCTATTTTCGTATAAGTGTGATATTGACACATCATTGAGTTGTTCCTCATTGATTGGATTAGGTCGTATTAGGTAATCACACATCTACCTTTTGGAGGCCAATATATCCAATCCATCTAAAAGAAAGCTAATATTACTGAGAATCTGAAGTGTTTGATCTGTTTTGAGAATCTGAATATAGAAACTATTAATTTCCTTTACATCCAAACAGGTTATGGCAAGCAAAACAAAGATCTATATTGTTCTTGAGTATGTTGATGGAGGCGAGCTCTTTGACAAAATAGTAAGTAACTCTTACCTCTTCCATGATTCTCTTTTATCATTTTAATAATCCAAAACATTATAACTTTTCAATGATATTACAGGCCAAACATGGGAGACTTCAAGAAGATGAAGCTCGAAGATACTTTCAGCAACTAATTAACGCTGTAGATTACTGTCATAGTAGAGGCGTGTATCACAGAGATCTCAAGGTTCTTATTTGTTCATCTTCATCATCATAAGTTCATAAGTTCATAACTCATAAGTAATGAATGAACTGGTTTGTGGTTTATTAATTAATTACTTATCTACCCCTTCTTCTTATTACAGCCTGAAAACCTTCTCTTGGACTCATATGGTGTTCTAAAAGTTTCAGACTTCGGATTGTCTCAACAAGTGGTATGTATAAATTCACAAAAAGTTCTTTGTTTTTTATTTTTTATTGGTTAATTAATTACTAACATTTGAACTCTTTGTAAATTTAGGAAAATGGTATGCTGCACACAGCTTGTGGGACTCCAAATTATGTTGCTCCTGAGGTAACACTAATAGCAATGAACTTCATAGATGTAAAATGGTAAATATTTACTTGAATTCTTATTTTATTTTTTTATTTTTTTACTTTTCAGGTGCTCACTGTAAAAGGTTACAATGGTGCAGCCTCTGATATATGGTCTTGTGGAGTTATCCTTTTTGTCCTCATGGCAGGATACTTACCTTTTGATGAAGCAAATCTCATTGAATTATATAGAAGAGTAAGTTTCTTAATATTTGTATCCTAATCTTCATTTTATACACTTTTTTTTTTTTTTCTAAATTCAACTTTTATTCAGATTGAGAAGGCTGATTATAGATGCCCACCATGGTTTTCATCTGGTGGAAAGAAACTGTTGACACGAATTCTTGATCCAAACCCCAAAACTGTGAGTTTTTTTTTTAATCTTTTAATGTTTACAGATTATGGAATTATATTGTATATAGTTAGTTGTGAACTCCATGATGATTTGCAGAGAATAACAATTTCTGAAATCTTGGAAAATGATTGGTTCAAGAAAGGTTATAAACCTCCAAATTTTGAGCAGGAAGAAGATGTTAGCCTTGATGATGTAGATGCTGTTTTCAATGAATCCAAGGTATGTTAAAGAATGGGGTCACAAATTTTATAAAATTTCAGATACATTTTTTTTTTATTTGTTAATACGATTCTTTTTTATTTCAGGAACATCTTGTTACAGAAAAGAAAGAGAAACCAGAATCCATGAATGCCTTTGAGTTGATATCAAGATCACAAGGTTTCAGTTTAGAAAATATGTTTGAGAAACAAAAGGTGTGTTGTAATTGTATTCATTTATAAGTTATATATTTCATCAAATCGCTTTTTCTATATAATTTTTTTATATTCGAAATTTAAATAAACAGGGCCATGTAAAGAGAGAAACAAGTTTTGCTTCCAAGTGTCCTGCTAATGAAATCATGTCTAAAATCGAGGAAACTGCAAAACCCATGGGTTTTAATGTTCACAAAAGAAATTACAAGGTAATTTTTCTTTTTCTTTTTTATAATTGTGCTTCAATTCTTCATTTTATTGTTTGACATCATATTAATAAGTTTAAAATTTATTCTTTTTAAACATTTATAGATGAAATTACAAGGTGACAAAACTGGAAGGAAAGGCCACCTTGCTGTGGCTACAGAGGTATAAAATCATTTTTGAAATAAACAAAAGTAGGATGCTATAATAAAGAAAATAAAAATATATTGTTATTCGGGTGTTTCAAGATTTTTTTAAAAGTACAATATTGTAATATTTGTCTACTTTGATTTTGTTTAGGTTTTTGAAGTGGCTCCCTCACTACACATGGTGGAGCTCAGGAAAACCGGCGGTGACACATTGGAATTTCATAGCGTACGTGTTAAAGCAAAAGTTCTTAAATCTTTATATGACAGATCAGGTTGTACTGTGTTTGACCTGATATGACAGATCAAGTTGTACTGTGTTTGACGTCCATTGGAACTCATGTCGATGTCCATAGGAAGAAATGAAAGTTTTTTTTCCCATCCAGAGACAGACACTCGCTCTTGATCTCTCTTATGTACAAAAGACGAAAATGCCCTCGTCCTCATTGTTTGAAAATAATCTACAGGCTTACTCTATTATGTCATGTCATATCAGTTGATTGTTTTTGTGTTTTGTTGAATGATAGTTTTACAAGAACTTTTCTTCGGGATTAAAAGACATAGTTTGGAGCAGTGAATCAAATAAAGATGACAACCGGTGAGAGTGAGACTAACGAACTAAATTTTTTGTAATGTTTTTTTTTTTTTTTTTTTTTTTTTTTTTTTTTTTTTTTGAATCTAACTTTTTTTTTTTTTTAAAATATGTTTGGAAGAAAATCATGAAATGTGAGAAGTCCAATACAAGGCATCATTGTGGGTGAATAATATTGGCAATCTTGACATTATTGGTAACAGAAGTTGCAATACCATTTTGTGTTGTGACTTTTTGATATGCAACATGCATATGCTCAAATGTAAGTGTAAGAACCTTAAATAAATATATATTATCATGTTTGGCTTTATTATATGGTTGAGTGTAGGATTTCTTTAATAATTTTATTTATTTGATTTGATCTTCATAATTATATTATCTTTGTCATAAATTGCTTTTCAAATTGTTTTTATTTGATCTTTGTTGTTTTCGTCTTGGTTTGTTATACTTGGCGTTGAAAAGATTGATCAGAGTTAAGACCAATCGTCATCATTCAATTCTTTATAATCTTGTTTATCATTATCTTCGCTTGCTTTAAAAAAGGTTGAACATTACTTAATTTGTCGCCTTTCTAGTAGACCCATGAATGTCCGAATAATTTTCCACATCTTAATTGAACACCATATCCGTTAATGTCATAAGATAATACATTATTTTCATTTATATGACAAAGAAAAATGAAAGTCAACGGATGTGACTGTAATGCAATACATTTTTTAAAATCTATTTCAGTTGTTAAATCTTATATGTGATCATGTATATAAGATTATATTGTGATTGAAATATCTTATCAAAATGAATTAGTCTTTAAATTTCGTCTTAAGGTCTTGCTTGTGCAGTATCTATGCATTTAATGTTGATTAAGACATCGATACTAAAACTAATTTTAGCAACTTAAATAGTTTCATACGCTTTATAGATGGAAACAACATCAATTAAGATATCAACGGTGGATCCAGCTTTAATTTCTTAAGCAACCATAAGTCTTGTAAACGCAAACTACAATAATTATCGTAGATCCAAACCAAACAGCACCTATTAAAACATAAATTGTGGAATCAACTTTAATTTCTTAATCTGTAACCATATTTTTTGTAGATGCAAGCCATAATAATTTGTGTACATGGAAACGACGCTAATTAAAACATCGATATTGGAGTCAACTTTAACTTCTTAAGTGTTAACCAAAATCCATACGATGGTTAATGCTCAATTTGAAGTTGAATTCAAAATTTTAAGACTCAATCTCAAGATAGACAATTTTTTAGGCTTTGTGTGAGATCTTTTACAAAAATATCTAATTTTCTAGGGTTTAAAAGATTGCAGATTTTACTATAGAAAACACACTAAAAATGTGTGATCAGATTAGAATAAGATTTTACTATCTTATTCGTGGATCTTACTATCGCAATTTATGGGAAAAAAGAAAGTCACAAATGTAAAGGGCAAGGGAAGTAATCTTTGTTGGACTAAAATTTCCCAACTTAAATGAACCTATGAGGATGCAAATAATTACGGCATTCAATAATGAATATTGATCAACAAGCAACTAATATAGACATTGGGGTGGGAATTATTTGGTCCGGAACTAAAAAATCTAAAAATCAAATTGAATCGAAATCGAATTCAGACCAAAACATATTCAAAATCGATTTATGGTTTGGTTTAAGACCAAAACGAATTGTAAATTTGGTTTTTGTTCGAGTTTTGGTCTCATGAAATTTAGACCAAACCAAACCGGGGAGCTGAATTTGATTAATAAATTAATTAAAAACTATATTTAATATTTTATATATTAAACAAAAATATTCAATAATTAATATAAATTAAAAGACATATTATGACATCTCCATTTTTACGCTCCAAACAGACCTTTTTTATGTTTATTTTAAAACAGGGTGTTCTTTGTAATTGCGAAATTTATCCCATAAAAAGTCTTTTTGAAGAAATGTTTTTCATTGATTATTAAAAATTTGAGATATCATAACTGATACAATAAACATAAACATAAACGTAATCATTATAAGTCTTACAATATCTTTTATACTATGACATATTTTTCCTCGAATCTCTCATCGAATCCAAACGTGGTTATCTTTATACAACTTCCTGTGATACAAAGAAACTGAGTGAGTCAGGTTGGAAAAACTTGTGAGTATATATGGTTTTCAACCCACGGTAATATAATTAATTTTTGTTTAATTATCTATCAAACAATTGACTCAATTACTCATCCCCGTTTTCTTCAATATTCCTCCCTAAGGATCATCACGAACACCATTGCTGACAGTATTATTTCACGGATTTCTTTGCAATACATATCAATAGGAGTAGAATACATCATATGAACACGTAGTTCATCGCTTACAGGTTATGAACCAGCTTGTGTTTCCACTGGACTATCTAGAATGGTCTGTGGTCGTCATCTATACTCTGCTAGATGATTACATCGTTAGTAGTACTATTAAATTCGTGGTCTATTCCATCTCTCATCGTCCATCACCCCCGTCATCTCTCATTTATCATCACCCATCACCGTCATTATCTATCATATTTCATCACCCATCACTACCCAATATATTATAAATATATAAAATACATATACGGTAGAAATCATATAAAGATTATCTTATATTATTTCATCTAACACAGAACATCTTAATCGTAACTAATAAGCACATATAGCATTTAATTATCTAAATACACACACACACACACACACACATATATATATATATATATATATGTTGGATTAAGTGTCTAAGCTCATAACTACAATTGCTAGTACTTGATTTGATAGTAGCATGATCATTTTGGGTTTGTCTTCACTCATGCAACTTGACATGATGACAAGTGGAGAGAGAGTAGGATTTATTATATGAATAATAAATTGATACTTAAAATGATTTTATTAAGATATTATGAGATTAATATATTATTTGGAAATCATATTATTAATTAGTAATTAATCAGATATTAATTTTGGGATTAAAGGAACGGATTAATAATTGAGGGGTTGTTTTGCAAATCATTGATAATTGTCAAACTGGGCTATTGGACTCCTTAATTAGCAGTGGACGAAATCATGTAAGGAGGCCATGTAGATTTCGTCCAGGGCCTCATAAGGAGGAGTACATGGGCTGCTTAAGCCATAAGCAAGAAATTAGGGTTTCCACCTAAAAACCCTAGCAGCCTCAGCTATATAAACCCCCTTAATATGAGATTTTTGGATCCAAGCTTCTAAGAGTTGCCCTAGCCGATTTCCTTGTCTCTCCATCATCATCCTTTGCGTTGGGTGTTTGTGATTTCATTAGAGGTGCAACACTTGGGGCACTAAGCTTTCAAGAGTCAAGGTGTTCTTGTTATTGCTACATAACAAGTGAGGTAATCTACTAACCCTAGTTTGTATATGTATTTTCGAGAAATTGTATGCTAGTCTATAGATTTATTGCTTTGGTGTTCATATTTTTATGTTCAATAGTGGAAAACTTATATCCAAAGCAATTAGGGTTGCATGATCACATAGGATTGTAGATATGTTCAAAATCCATCAATCTATGTGTAAGATGAAAGTAACAATGTACTCGAAAGTTAAAAATGGATGACTTGTGATTTAGGGCAGAGCTTCGCCTAACACCTCATTTTTTTTCTTTGATATGACCTAAGTATGAAAATTACTAAGTTTTAGTCTTATATTCTTTGTGACTAATGATAGTCTAGATTCTTTACTAATCCCAATGTCTACATTAAGATCTATCAAGTAAGGAGCAACAAGGTAAGATCATGTTAGAGGTAGGATCCATTTGTTATAAAGAGTATACTGTTTGGAAATCTCACTTTAAACACCTCACGAAATCTAGTCTCGACATCACTCCCGTAAGTAGATCAATTAGTATTATGACATGGAATTACTGATAAATCTTATTTATAAATTCATAACAACAACTATGAATATAAATATAAGTTACACGAAAAGCAATATGAGTCTAGCGAAAAGTCGTAAATTTCATTGGCAGAGCTCCAACCCGAGAACTTCTAATTGTTGGACTCTCATACATTAGAGCCTAGCTAAATGCCCTAAATCTAAAGAAAAATTTAATTTTAACTTTAGAAAGTCAAAGAGAAAACAAGTGAAGTTGTGAGGAAACAATGTGCCATTGGCAACTATTTATAGTGGGTTTTCATCTAAGGCGCATCGTGTTTTTAGAGGAGTGTGGCGCACCCTCCAGACACATCGTTCCTCTGGCATTGTGATATGTGGCAGCTGCCAAGTGGATCTATGTTCCCCCTTCTAGAAGTGCGCGCTACACCTATGCGTGTGTGGCGTCGACACGAAATTTTCAAAAATTCACATATTTTTCATAGGAACTCTATTTTTGACATTTTTATATACACGCATAGCTATCAATGATATCTACAACATTCATTTAGACTTTGTTGGCTAATTCTCACTTTATTTTTAAAGTTATATTTTTAACAAGCTTAAACTGTTAAAGTCCATATAAAAATCATAACTCTTCCAACAACATTCGTTTTCGACTATATTTATATCCATAGACTCCTATTCACAAGATCTTTGATTCTCGTTTAGATTGTTTTTCCTAATAATCAATTGATTCTAGTTTTGGTTTCTATGTCGCACATTGTTGTGCTGAATCTTTGACAAATCATAAATTTCTCATATGAAATTAGATTTGGACATTCTCTATATACACGAGTCCTCTTTTACAATTACTACAACTTTTGTGGCTAATAAGCAAACTATCTAAAATTCACTTTTTGCGACATACTTTACCATATTAGGTTGAACGCAAAACTTCAAAGGATTATAAGATCTTCATACGAAGTCAGATTCGAGCGTTTCCTTATGTCTAGGGAAATACCATCACGACTACTACAATTTTTTTAACGCTCAATATGCCAGGTAAATGTTGAATTATTTAATTTCCTTTCGTTTGAACATTTGGCTTGAGTATGATGGATGTACATATGGTACGTCGGGCGTACTTCAAAGGAAGCTTGAGGGGGGATGTCACCCACATATGTTGCGCTACCCATGCGTACGATGGGCATACGTTAGTCAGGGGAAAACTATAATTTTTAGGGTTTTCACCCTATTTAAGCACATTAATTCCTCTAAATCATTCATCTTATCAGTCTTCTTTGTCTCTTGAGCCATATCTCGAAGCCCTAGGAATATTAAGAGTATTCTTGAGCTTATTGAGAGTTTTTGGGTGTTCTTTTGTGATTTTGAAGAGTAAGGAACTTGGTGGTGGTGCATTGTTGGATTTGGAGCTTCAAGATCCAGGGCTATCTTCTTCACTACGAGCTTCTAGATGTAAAAAGCTCTTACCTTGTTGGTTCCTTGCTTAGATATCTTTTGGTGGTAGATTTAGGAGTTTTGTTCCCATGACTTGGGTCTTATGGAGTATGGACTACTCCAGACCATTTGAGTTGTCCTTTTGAACACTTAGGAGTGCATGGAGTCATAAAAATCGGATCTTAGAAGTTAAAAGTCAACCATGCAGGAGTTGGTGACCACTTAAGGGAAGTAGATTGCTAAAACCATGGTTTGAGTCCCATTAAGACATACAAAATCATAAAGTTTGTAACTTTATGTC